ATCTACACCGAAGGGTGCAGATCGGTTGTTCGCGCGGGCGCCCCGGCGACCGCCCGCAGCAGCGAAGATAGGCACCGCATAGGCGCTCACGCGCGTCTATAACCTATACACTAATGCAGCAAATATGACATGCACAGTTTTAATCCGGCAAAGCACAGGTACCGCCAAAAGCTCGATCACGTCCATGCAGGCCGCGTGCCAGGCACAGCAGCTCGTCCCCTTGGAACCCTGTATATCCTTCTCTTTATGAAGGTTCGCAGACAGATACATGCAAATTACACGTAAAAATGCACGACCGGCTACAGGCGTGTCACGCCGCGCGCGAATCCCTGCACGCGCAAGGTGCACATTCCAAGCCTGCCACATAGCGCTCCCACAGGAAACTCAGCTTGTCACCGCACAGTACTTTCAAGGTTTTCTGCTCCAGATTCGCAGATCCGATACAGGATTCAGTTCCACATACTTAAATTTAAGCGTATTCAGCCGGTATTGCTTACGGCTCCACCGGGACTCCGCGCCTGCATATGCATGGGCGGAGAAGCGCCACATATTCCGTACTCTAGTAAGCGCGTCACCGTGTGACTTTATTACAGCCCGTTATCTTAGCCGCATCGAAAGGCAAAAATCGTTAAGTAATATTATCACTGCGTCATTCGCGCACATCAGCACAAGAAATGTATCTTTAACAGTTACTTTAAAGTCAAACAAATTAACCGCGCGATTGTCTATACGACTCTTTAACAAAGGGGAGAAGCCCCTCTCGCTCCAGGCGGAAGAGCGGCGTATATTCTTTCTCCCGATCCACTTTACGCGTTGTCAGTTGCAACGAAAGCACTGCAAATTTCACCGGTTTAGACAGGGACTCACACAGCGTGAGTATTGCCCCCGCAGAAACGTCACACACGAATCATACCTTGATTCACGATTCCCAGATTGAGATCCACACATGCGATCCCCTGGTCCCCGCAATCGGAAAGGCCGGAGACAGGTGCCGGGCACCGGACGTCGTCAGTAAAAAAAGATGTGGATCTCTATGTCATCCCGTCAGCTGACGATAGCGGGGGGAGACAGCAGATCCCCGGCGCCGGCAAGGCACCCCGCAAAGCAGCGTGTCACCTCCGAAACAGAGGGGCAGCTGACCACCGGTCCGCCGACCGAGGCCAATCACTACAGGGGGGGAAAAGCAATCCTCACTAAGGACACAAGCACGTTAATGCATGCATGCAAGCACCTAATCCATGCGCGCGTTCATCGGTTCACGGCCATAGCCGCCATACCATGCACACAGCCACCGACACATGCACAGCGCCGCCACGCGTTCACTTTCGTGCAACGCGGTTATGCCGCGCCCATGCACTTCCACGCGCACATAGTGCAGCACACTCCACAATGACCACTGTCCAGCATGCAACGGAGCACGCCCGGGCGGTCAATCTCCGAGCACGTGGCGCGTCCACCAGAGAGTATAGAAACTCGAGATCGCGCACGCCACTGAAGGCTCACATGCATGAACCCACGTGAGGCGGAGTGTACAAAAATACACACCCCGACACGAGACACCACCGCAAGACGATTTAGCACTATTTTAACGTAATATCCATTGATTCCAGGCCGTGGACTAAATTCACACGAACAGTGACGTTTCGGCACTACACACACTAACGGCAGTATATACCAAATAGGTTCCCATACACTGTCGGTGTCTTCTCGCGTTTTTCAGAGCACGTGTCAGTTATATAACACACCGCCTGATCCGCACATACGTTTCACACTTACTCCGGGACAATTCCAGAATGTTTCAAGCCGCGATACTCACACGCCGCGAACGATATATTCTCGCGCGGTTTAATGCCTGAGGCATGAAAAAAGGCCCCCGATAAAGGTACCTTCCACCGCGTTACCGCTATCCGCCCAGCGCGAAGATGACAGCCATCTTGGCCCGGGGCATGCAACCACGTTTATCGACACTGGAAATTTGCAAATTTCTTAGCTATTAAGAAACTCACAGTCGCAAAACTCCGCGAATCGATGCAGGATTGCACGCCGCACACGATAAATACACACACGACGCGCAAAACGCGTTTTATCCGCACGGGCGTGTGTGGAGAAGGCGGAGCGCTACGGAGACACGTCCACACGACTCGACACACACGAGACAACCGACAACCTAACCTAACCTTTTTTTTTTTTATAAAGGTGGTAAAAATCTTCCAAAGACCCCCTGCGCCTGTTACAGGGGAGTGCAGGATTCAACCGGGCGTGACTTGCGGTCTCAGTCAGCCCTTGGGCTGGCTGAAGTTGCTGGCCTTCTCCGATCGCCTACCTGCTAAAAATCCACTTAAAAGATCCACACGGTCCCTAAAGTGAGGGTGGCCCTGGAACCACCTGCAGGTATTACTTCAGGGCCACCCTCGGGAGAACATGAACGAAGCTCACGACTGTACAGGCTTCGGAAATTGGAGAAAAGATGATATACTCCTACCTCAAGAAAGGGAGAAACACAGAGAGTCTCCGGGAGACGGGCTAATAGTAGTCCTCTCCCTCCGACTCACCCACTCCTACATCTACCCCATCGCGGAGGGCCTCACGAGACCTCTCCTCCTCCTCTTTGCGGAACATGACCGTCTCGCAGAATCTGCTGAAAGCCATCCATTTCTCAGGAGACTCGAGTATGGCCGACACTACCGCATCCAAGCTCAAATTCCTACCTATTGTCTCCATCAGCTCTTCCCTCTCGCCATTCCAGGCGGGACACTCAGCCAGAGTATGCATATTGGTGTCGCGCTGGCTGGGGCAGAAAACACAACCCTCTCGCGGGGCCTTGCCGATCCGGCGTAAGTAGACGTTGAACACTCCATGACCAGTCATCATCTGGGTTATCCTGAACGTTAGGTGCCCATGTGTTCTGCCGAACCAGTTGGACAGCCTCGGGACTATCGCCGCCCTGATCTCCACCGCGGTATTCTCCCGTCTAGTATATATCGTTCTTAAATCGTTGAGGGCGTCCTCTAACGCTTTCTCCCGAATACGCTGCTTAATCCTATTAGTTATTGGGACTTCTTCTTCCTGTAGTGCGCGAGTATCCAAAAACACCTGCCTTAGTCTTTTTGCTTGCAGCTCCGCGGGTAGCATTCTCGCCAGTAAGAAAGCCGCAGGGTACGAAACCGTGCGATAAGCGGCGATAACCCGGAGGGCTATTCTCCTCTGAACAGCTCGAATTTCAGCCCCCACCCTACGGTCGTCCGCTAACGTGGGCGCCCAGACCGGTGCCCCGTAGAAAATGATGGACTGTACCACGGCGCTATATAACCTCCTTGCCCCCTCTTTGGGGCCGCGTAAATTGGGCATAAGTCTTGATAGGGCCATAGCTGATTTTTCGGCCCTGGGCAATAGCTCGGAGAAATGTTCCCTAAACTTCCAACGACGGCTTAGGAGGAGCCCAAGATATTTAATGTTAGGATTAAGGGGAATCATCGAGTCCTTCACAATTACTGTCTCGTTGCGGACGAATCTGTGTGCGCGCGAGAACGCGCCCGCCATCGTCTTGGCAGGGGATACCTTGAGGCCCAGACTTTCAATTTTTCGAACCACACAGGCAACCCCCAGTTCCGCACGCGCTCTGGCCTCTGTTAGGTTATCTCCGAGGGCAACGATCAAAGTATCGTCAGCGTAGCACAATGTAGAGATGTCCTCCGAAACCTCCACATGCAGGACCTCGTCATAGGCGAGGTTCTAAGCCTCCGGACCATACGCTGAGCCTTGCGGAACCCCACACGTCATTTGCCTACTGGTCATTCGGCCATCACTGTCAACGTAGCAGATGTATCTGTCCGAAAGATAGCTATCTGTGATTCTCCGCAGGTAGTTGGGTACCTCTTTTTCTATTAGTGCATGCCTTATCCTCTCCCATGGTAGAGAGTTAAAGGCGTTGGAGATATCTAAGGATACCGCAACAGCCACACGCCCCTCATCGTACACTGGGTCCAAGAGTTCCCGCAAATTGAGCGCTGCGTCCACGGTAGATCGCCTTGCCCTAAATCCGTACTGGTGGTTTGAAA